CATTTTGATCCAATTTGCTAAAAGATAAGGTACCTACTATATGTTGAAATCGAAGCACTCTTTCTGGTAGAAATGTTGTATACTGCAGGATATAAAAATAAAAAAAATAAATTAAACACCATTCAGAAAATGTTCTGAATCTAATGCTCCGCTCAGAATCTAAAAAATTAAATTATTAAGTATTTGGTATAATAGTATACCGTACTGCTGCGGAAATTGGCAACGGTAAGCAATACCTATACCTAAGTCAAATGTACCTATATTATTAATATTCGTTGTTACCTTACTCGTAAATAAATAAATAATTATAATATGTTGTATACTAGTATGTTGGTAATGTTACAATTATATTGTGCTGATTTTTGTCTTCTTGCGATCGTAATTTGGCAAGTATACCTACGACCTACCTAGTTTCTACCGTTACGAAAAATACGTTGATCACAATCTATAATAATATAGAACACCCGTTTTAAAACGCGTTTAATAATTATTGTTTATAATAATTTTAATCAATAATAAGTATTCAGTATTTAAGTAGATATTATTATATAAATATATGATTACTATATTATATCCATGTCCATGTGGCATATATCTAGATACCTAATATAAACTGTAAGAATATAGTAGAATAGGCAGTATTTTTATATTTATAAACATTGATTAATACGAATTTACCTAGCTCTTATATAATATGGTTAATTAATTATTGTATTTTCGTTCAAGACTCTGCCACAGATCCCGCTACAACAATGCCTACTTTCCAACAATTTCAACACGGTAGGTACCTAATATTTCTATAAAAAAAAATACAACTATATTTTCTATGATATTATTTATGGTTCGAAAAATCTTTTAGGATCCATATGATGTTTGTTTCAGGAATTTTGATCAATACTAACAATCGCGTAATAATGATTGTAATAGTGGTGTGATCTGTGAATACTTTGAACAAAATCCGTTAAACGGTAGCAGTCGAAATGAAATACTATAGTCATCACTGTCAAGGTTGTGACTTTATAATAATATATATTATACCATGTATATGTCAATGTGTATTATTAATGCAATCAGCTGGGCGTTTGCCGTGGCCGTTAACGAGTGTCGTCGCGTAACCTCGTCCTCGTGCACAAGCCACACACGCTCGGGAACTCGCGCGTTCGTCAGTCGTAGTTCATTGTTTGTGCTCTGTCTAGTATGTAGCTATACTACTTACTAGCCAGTAGCCACTGTTGGTCGTGGCGTGCTCGTGGTCGGTCGTGGCGGCTCGTTTCAAGTCCACGTGTCGAAATTGCTGGCTGCAGTGGCGATCGATCGTTTTTGTTTCAAGTCCGATTGAGGTAGGTAATACATTCTACGTGACTAGAAATAAATACGTAAGCGCCTGCTGACAGTGAATTTACCGACTCTGTAGATAAATAATATTTTTTATTAATTTACCTTTGTAGTTTATTTTTATCTCCGCTTGGTCTAATTAGTAGTACCTATAAGTAGTAATTTGATTTAGTTGACGACATTCGTTTATTCATTCATGAGAGTTTATACTCGTCGCCGAAAATCATCGTACTGTATTGATTATATACTTGTGAGGCGATATGATGAAATCTGAACGAATATTTTCTAGACGTTTTCCCTACGAGATTTTCTAACAAAAACTAGGTACAATCCTTTTTTCTTTATAGATTAAGCTCATATTATGAACATTTAAAAAATATAATATTATGTTTTACTTTCATTACACATCATCAGTATAGCCGCATAATAATGTATAAATTACAATTAAATAAACTGAGACAAATATTTTACTGGCTACAAGAAAATCTATATTTTAATTTATATTGATAATTTAAATATTATTTAGTGAATTTCGCAAGCAAAAAAATTTAATATAAAATAATTAAATAAATATTAAATATTAATAATTAAATTTAATATTATTATGTAGGTACTATACCTAGGTAGGTCCTCGTACTTACCTAGTTGTTATGGTTTCAGATTTTTTGAGCTGATCGTTAAATATATTGGTTTTACTATGAAATTAGTTGTTTTTGTCTGCCATCACTCATTGAAAATGCTCTATGCTTTATGCTTCAATTTTTAACTTTGAAGGTGGGTTCTAGTATAAAATTGCATTTGATTGGTAATTTAGAGGATCAAAAGTAAACGAAAAAAACAAAAAAAAAATTGAACAGTCCAAACAAGTTCTTAATAATTCAAGTTTTAAATCATTTAAAAACTAAAAACATTTTTTTGTTATTCTAATGCAATAATTTTTGATTGAATTCAAATTCAACACTTCCATTACAGTGTCCAACTCAATTCAAGGTACACTCGACATTTTCTATTACACAGCAGAGCTAATTCCCCTACTTATTTTATTATTACTATTATTAATTTTGTATTTAAATACATTTACCCCTAGGTAAATTTATCACCGTTTTCAATATCAAACAAAAGTACAAAACTGAAGACTGAAGTAATAACTGCTAAGTGCTAGGTACGTAGAATAAAATATAGAAGAAGTAGAAAAAGAATAAAGAATAGCAATTTTTCCAATAAATATTTTTAAATTTATAATTATATATTATACAAATAGGTGTATTGTATTTTTTAAAATACCTATGAAGAAGTGGAAAACTTGCCGAATTTGGTTTGCGCACGATATGCTATGACCCTATGTATCTGCGTTGAATGTTACCTTGGATAATTTTATAGGTAATTTACACATAGCTAGGTACTGTAATATACCATGTACAGACATATAAAAATTAAAATACCAAGTTCTAGTGAACAATTTCAATTACAAATCACAAATACACGATGTAATCACTATCAGAAATCACTACGACACTACCTACTCACTATAAAAAAAAATAGTCATGTATCGACGATATTAAATAATGAGTTCCTTAGTATTATTTTTTTCTTACGTGCGATATTTGTGTCACTTTAATGTTATCACATACCTAACACTTGCAGTAAGTTGACTACAGTAATCCAATTCTATACTCAACAGTTAACCGTATGCTAAACTATACACGTGGACATGGTATCGAAATCTATATCTTGTTGAAAATCATTTAAACTAATATTACGATATATTCCACTTGAAAAATGTTGAAAATGGTAGGTATTATAAAAATATAAGTTTTCATACCATCATCCAAATATCCACTTGAAGTTTTTTAATAAAACTGCAACCTATCGATCATCTTTTTCTTCAATCAATTTCGTGTTAAGTTTCATATTTACGTCGTAACAATTATAGGTAGGTATATCTAATATCTATGATTCAATATTGATATTGACAATCGTTAAATTGTAGTGTACATCCAATTATAATAATGTACCTATAATATTAAAGCATACATTTTATTTTTAACCTATTAATTTGCATTTAAATTATATTATTTTATAAGAATAAAAAACTGGTTTCTACTTTTAAATCTTAATAAGTACATATATGTTCAAATTATCTACCTACTATTCAGAATTATAGTTAAGTAGGTATTAATATATAGAAAAAACTGTCAAATTTTATGACAATCATAATATTTATTTATATAAATTATAAATGATTTTTGATAACTTGTGACAATATAGTGGGAGTGTAATACAGTATGGCATTCGAATTATTTTAAAGGCAATTTGTTGAACAATGTCTTAACAGTTATTTTAATCAGAAGTTTTATTTTGAGACATATTGGTTTAACTGTATTATAATGTAGAGTTTCATGAACAATTGATTAGTTCAATGGTTTGCTAAAATTTAATGGACCAATTAGGACTAAATCATGTTTGAGGGACCATTAGTCTACTATTGTTTAGTGATTGTTCATGCATCCCGACCTAAGAAAACTTAAAAATGTTAAATAAACGTTATATTATCATATAGATAACGAATTATATTAACTGATATAATTGCCTAGGCTAACTTTTTACTGTATATAGTAGGCAGTAGATAACTATAGTTGTTATTAGTTAGAATATATATATATATTATACTATTATGATTCTTCGATAATTCAATCTAACACATTGCTTAAAATTTGAAATAAAATTCTAAAATTCAATTGTTGTACTTGTACATAATGTATTTTATTGTATTTATCATTCATCAACAATTTAAAATCAAGATAGGTACTTATCTACTTATTTACACTACCTATACATATAGACTATAGTATATCCTAATAGAAAGGTAAGGTAGTATGACACTTCGTTAAATTTGCAACATAAAAATTAACTGGATAGGTAGAATATAATAAGCTATATTTTATACATAAATTAATTTTTTAATGCTCAGGTAATAGCATTACCTACTTTATTTTTGCCTCTGAATAAAAATTTTGAAGCAATAAACTTTTATAGTTTTATGGCATAAATTAAAATTATGATCCCATCTAGAGAAAAAAAAAATAATTTAGGCTAAGAGATAATACTTTATCGTTTAATTTTAATGATGGCAACTATACTAGATACTAACATTATTATTATATTAAACACGTGTTATTAAATACCTTATGTGTGATCGACCTTTTGATTCATTTATATGATATCATAATTAAGATAATTGTAGACTATTGAAGGCATATTCCACAATACTGATATTTACATAATATGTGGTGCGTATACCTAAATTAATATTAATTCGCAGTAACCGTAGTGTTCCTCCTATCAATTCTCTATAGAGAATATAATAATACACATATTATATATATATTTTTTTTTTTTATCAAATCATTAAAATATTTTGATTGCAATATACAATAATATAATTGCGTATAATATGAAAATAATAATTGTAATTTTATAATTTTATACAATTATACCGTACACAGTTACATTACTATAGGCCATCTAACTATTATATAGATGAGTATTAATTTAGGCATTCAGATTCGTCGTATTATTATTTGTAAATTAAATACTTATTTTTATAATACACTATTATGTCACTACACACTATAACTTTTATATATTTTTAGGAATGGCCTAAAATGGAATTTTTATTGGGTGCTTTGGGTGCCAGTGGCGCTGTGTGCTTCACCAATCCATTGGAAGTAATAAAAACCCGGTTTCAGCTACAAGGAGAGCTGAAAAAAGTCGGCAACTATAAAGTCCACTACAGAAACTTTGCTCACGCTATTTACGTTGTAGCAAAAAACGAAGGGCCGTTGGCTCTGCAAAAGGGCCTGTTACCGTCCATGGGACACCAAGTGTTCTTGAATGGTACACGATTAGGCATTTTCGATTTGGCTCAAAAAAAAAAATGGATACTTAAAAGTGATGGCAACGTTTCGCTCATTAAGTCCGCTCTCGTCGGAGCCGGAGCTGGCATGTTGGGTGGTTTTTTAGGCAGTCCACTGGGCATGGTGAGTTACTCCAATTTTTTTATGTGTGTCTGGCATTACGTACCTACAACTTTGAACCAGACCATTTGAGTCCAATACTGTATATTATTCATTAATGCCTGAAGGCTACATAGATTAAGTTTGGCGTTTCTCGATTATGATTAATTACCCATCTACACAACTATAGGGGGTTTACTAATTGGGCTCTAAACATTTTTGGGTCGATATACCAATTGCGCTCAAAACATTTTACACTACCTAAGGAAAAGTTACTAGTTATAGTTATAAATTATAATCATATAATAAATTATTACACTAACAGATTTTTTGCGAGTATTTATGTATAATACATATTATAATATAAATAAATAAACAATTGTTTTCTTCACATTTAATAAGTTACTTTTTGATCGTCAATTATATAGAATGTATAATAATGATAACTTTTTTTCGTCTATGACTCAGCATACTTCCATGATGCAATGTACGTAATGATAATAACGTTTCATAACATTTCTGATAGATACCGTTATATAATTTATGATAACCGCCGTCACTCTAACCAGTAATCAATTGATCAATAAATACGTTTTTAATTTTCAAGCATTTTAGTGTGTTTATGTTGATGTTGATGGAATTAGATCGAAAAACAATATTTCTAAATATGAAAGTAGCCAGGGAAATTTGAATACAAGCTGCGCAATTGGTATATTGATCGTAAAATATAAAGAGCGCAATTGGTAGACTAACCGTAAAATATAAGAGGCACAATTGGTACACTTACCCTAAAATATAAGCTGCACAATTGGTATATTGACCCTAAAATACAAGTTTTGTTTTGGCGCAATTGGTCCATGCCCGTGTGTCCATGGACGAGTGTCAGGCGGATCGATAGGTAACTATAGCCTATATAGTCAATCAAATTGAACATAATTAGGTACTTTACGACATCATCTAGAAACGTCAAACTTAATCTATGTATCCTTCAGGTATTAATCATTATAGCTTGTTTATATTATTCGCGATAATGCGCATTAGTTTATGATGGAAGTCTACAGATTTTTAAATTTTTGACTTACTATTGTCGAACAATTATGTATTAAAAAAATTAAAAATATATGTGTTTCGGATTGTTTAGTTAAAAATTCATCTGCAATCGTTTTCCGCCCAATCAATCGCTGTAGGCCATCAGCACAACACCACAAGCACAATAAACGGTCTGTTGACTTTGTACCGTAAGTACGGCGTGGTCCATGGGCTTTGGCGTGGGGCCACTGGGGCCATGGTACGTATTGGTGTTGCGTCGGCTACGCAATTGAGTACGATAAGCTTACTCAATGAAGCGCTCATCGACCATGGGGTATTGACCAAGGATCAGAAATTCCTGAGCACCCTCATATGCAGCATGCTGGGTGGAGTATTGATGTCAATAGTGATGGCACCATTCGATCTAGTATCCACCAGACTCTATAACCAAGGTATATATATAACGCGAATGGTCATACTCGTAATTTACCTAAGTACAATATTGTTTATGCCAAATGAGAGGTGGCTGAGTGCCCAAGTACCTACCATAATTGACTATACATGTTGCATGGAAATTGGACTTCTGGTAGACCATATTCGATATATTTGTATATTTCGACGACACTGAATGTATAATATGGAGTAATCAAGGCCATAGGCGCACATAGGGGGGTGCTTGGGGGTGCTTAGCACCCCAAGCTTCAAACTAGCACCCTCAGTTTATTTCAGTATTTCACCAATCATTTATAAACTATCGTGGTTTATTGGTTCGGAATTTTTCTTTTCATTACAAATATTGACAACTGTTTACGAATTCACGAATTCATTTTTTTTTTTTTTGTCTGTCATCACCAATCATTCTACCAATCTACCCCAATTTTTTCCTTTAGTAATATATTTATTGAAATAATTCTGATTTTTGGAACTTTAGATTTTGAACAGAGCGATGTGAGAATGTATTGATTTTCCAATGATGTGTTTTTTTTTTTGTCTGACATTACCTTTTAGGACAGTAAAACTTCTTAGGTTTTCTTCAACAGTATCTTTTCCGATAGGAAAGTGAATCTAGTTGGTACTTTGGGGGATCAAAAGCAAAAATTTCACAGTAGTTTTCAAAAGCGCCGTGAAAAACAAAAGAAAAATTAAGGAAAAACGGGAATTTTTACGCAAAATCTGTTTTCGAGAAAATTGATTTTGGTTTTTGGTGTAACTTTAAAACAAATGGCCGTAGATATATGAAATTTTTACTGGTTATTTATATTTCCATTTTCTATATATGATAAAATTTTCTAAATATTTTGAGTTATTTTGAGCTTTTTATGGACATTTTTAGTTTCCATTTTTTTTTAGTTTTTTTTCTATAAGTATCAATAAAATTTTATTTGTTGGGTATAAAAGCTTAAACATTTAATAGAAGGCTCCTAATATATTGTTTCAAAGACAGATGAAAAATATTAAAAATCCTTAGTCACAGTTTTTTGTTATAAGCATTTAAATTCCAAATATTGACAAAATACGTGAAAATGACGAAAATTTGCAAATTATTTCGAGTTAGAAATTCATAAAAATTTTTCTTTTTAAATCTAAGATATGAAAATGTAATGCAAGATTCCTCATAAGTTTGTCTACCTTTATCAAAAAAAAAATGTCTACAAGAATCTCAAATTAAATTTTTATGAGCATTCGAAATTCATATTTTTACAACATTTGATATTCACTCGATTTCTCATGTAACGATTTTCTAATTTTGTTGTAATTAAAAAACGAATGACTGTAGATACTTGAAAATTTTACTAAATTTTTATATTAGCATTTCCTATACACCATATAGTTTTGATTCTTTTTGAGCTATTTACGGACATTTTCAGTTTTCAATTTTTTAAATTTTTTTTTCTATTCATATCAATAAAATTTTATTTGTATGGTAAAAAAGCTTGAAAATTTAATGCAAAGCTCCTGATATATTGTTACAATAACACTTGAAAAATATTAAAAATACATAGGCACATTTTTTTTTATAATTATTTAAAATTCAAATTTTGACAAAATTTATCACATTTAAAATTTATTAATAATTTTATAGTTAAAAATTTATAAAACTTTTATAGCTAATGATTGAAAATTTAAAACAAGATTCTACGTAAATAGGTTATATATAAATTGCTTTATTCACCTTAGTATCATCAAATATACTTAGTAATATCATAGGCTGACTAACCGTCTTCGCTCAGAATCGTTTTTCTTATACAATGATGTTAGTTTATCATTGAATTCAAATTTAATACCATCGATTATACAGTGACCCACTTGTACCCTACTGTACAGCAGAGACCTTTTTTTGTTTATCAAACTTAAATAACTTTTATTTTGGTTTTGATATCGGAAATATAAAAACAAAGTTACAGAGTAAATTTTCTCATTTTTATAGTGTGAACATTTAGTTTCTTAGCTTAGAGTAGAGCCTGAATGTTTTTTATACCCGTGCAAAACAGTTTTGCCTATGTTGTACCTACGTCTGTAATACGGAGACAACACATGTGGGTGTACCTAGCGTCTTCTTTACAATCATACAGACTATTTGATACATTGCGCTTTAGAAATTATTGTATACACTATACTAATTAAATCTAATGCAATGCAGAAATATTAGGATTAGGGGGGTGTGGGGGGCAAAGTCCCCCACGGATCTGTGAACCATAAATTATCCCAGCACCCCCTAAATTCACACCCAATGTGCGCCTATGATCAAGGCCGTATCTAAGGGGGTTTGGATCTCCCCTAAATTTCTTCAATATATCTTATTTTTAACCAAACATCAAAACATAAATTCAATAAAATTACAATATACATGTTCTGGACCCTCCCTCGAAAAACATTTCTGAATACAGCCTTGGGAGTGATTCATTCACAGAATATATTTGTAGACATTTCTAGGTATAGGTACTTATTAGGACCATAGTCCAAATAATTAGATTTTTATACAATTTAACCCTTAAAAAGTGTCCTGTAGTGATACTAATTTATTATTTTCAAATGAGAATACCTCTTTTTCCCGTTAATTGTTAATTAAATGATTTCTAAAAAATTAATTTCATGTACATTGATGTACATTTGGTTGGTGTATCTAAATTAATATTCGAATGAGTAGCTTTTGAGTTATTTAATTTTGTGTAGGTAGTAGATACTAATGATAATAGGTTCGGTCGTTTGGAAGATAATATAAAATAAGATTAATATAATAGTTAATAAAGGCCTGGTGTAGCTTGATTGTTGGCCTTAGTCACTAAAGTGTTCTGATGTCAAGCATCAGCTGGTTAGGTTAGCCTCAAATGTTGAAAAAAAATAAAAAGTTAATGAGATATATAAGTATAAAAAAGTAATAGATATGATGAAGGGAGCTATGCAATGATTTGAACATTACACACATTTATACAATTTACAGTAAAAAAAAGGTTGGTTCACATTTGAAAAAACAGAAGATTGTATCACCACGGGTACACGACACATGACATAAAAAATCTAAATAATTAAAAATTCCAACAGTCAGAATTTTAATAAATTTATTATTAAATAAATAAATAATGGTGAGGATGCTTAGTTAATTCCCCTGTATATACTTAATAACTTTTCCTAAATACCTATATAAACCGTACAGGTACAACACTTATGCGCATGTGATGTATTGTACTCGAATTTTAATTGCAGCTGTCGACGCCAGAGGCCGTGGTCTTCTATATTCATCGTACATGGAATGTATGACCAAGACTTTCAGACAAGAAGGAATCTACGGGCTTTACAAAGGCGTCGTTCCGTGCTACCTCCGACTCGGACCCCACGTTGTTCTAAGCATGGTGTTCTGGGACAGGTTGCGACAATTTGAATCGAATATGTCCAACCACATTAAAGCCATGCAGAGTCTTTGATTTTTTTATTAGTTTTTAAATGATTATTGTTATTGTGTATTTTTATTTGACGTGTAAATCGGTAATCCCAAGGTAATAATAAATTGTTAAAATATATGTATTTATATTAGGTATATGTATAGGTAAAGTTCCTGATGGTTTTGGATTTAAATCAAATGCAAAAAAACCTTATTACTCTTTCAATATTATAATATATACACTTTATTATACCTATCTATAGGAAAATGTTTCTTTGCTGATTTTTAACTCATCACGTTCAATAATTATTATTTTATTTCACCAAACCGAATGTTAATTATGAATCAATATCCATAATAGTATAATATTCTAAGCTAAACTATAGCAATTAACATAATTGTATGGTTTGATCTTACTATGTAAGAAATAATTGAGTAGGTAGGTATCCACAACAAAGTACAAATTACTAACATGTCCGAACTCTGAACAGTCTGAACTAGTACCTAACTATATGTAGTTACCTATATAATAATATACAGCGCTGACCATTTTAATTTAAAGTTTACATTAAATTTAGTACCTATAGGTATTATAATATATATTAACTATAATCTTAATAGTTATTACTTATTTGTCTATTATATTTCTATTTTCTATAGTCTTTAGTCACCGCTTATCAAATATACGCATCACGTAGAATATTTTAATTTAACCGATTTAAATTTTAAAATCTAGTCTGCACGTTCATTACAAGTCTGAAGTCAATGTCTATGTATATTAAAGTGGGTGTACCTCACTCATATTTATGGTAGGTACAGCTCATAACCAAATTAGTAAATAGTTATTACGATTAAGTTACAACTATAGGTTAGGTAGGTATGTAGATTAAACCCCAAATACCTACCTGACATATTATATCTGAGTAAATTAAACTGTACAATTAGTATTTCAGTATTTAGTATTTTAGTGGTTACCTCTACCAATACCGTTTTATTTATTGTTATTAAATTAAATTAAAAATATTAAATAAAAAATAAAAATGAATAGGTAACTTATTGTTTATAATATTACCTATAGTTATAATAATTGTATATTGGGTATGCTTATTAAAATATTATCACAAGGTACCTACTACAGTACTACATACTCACTTTATTGAGATATGATATCAATATTGAATTATTTCCATTGAGTATTGTTAACAATGTTAACATGTAAATAGGTATAATAATTATAATTTATTAATATAATACCCAATTATTTAATATTATATGCCTACATTAAACATAATATTGAATGTTATTAATTTATTAAAATAGCAAATCACATGGGTATGAGGTAAGTACAATAATTGTTACAATTTGTACCTATTGTTTAATCTCTGGTATATTACTGTCAATAAAAGACATACCTATTAAAGTAGGTAATGAAGTACAATCTAATATTTATAGAATAGCTGTCTGAAACTTTTGACTTTTGAGGTTCATATCACTTATTAGTTAGGTACCTACCTCTATTCTGCAATAAAAATTATTAAACGACAGTAATATTAATAGTAATTAATATAACCTTGAAAAAAAATTATGTTAAAAATTAAAAGAGAATGTCACAATCTCATTCGGTAGGCGAGAGTTGGACATCTGAATCTAAAATATAATAGTAATTATTATGTTTTTGTTTATTATAAAAAGCAGTTTGAAACAAATTGTTATGCTATACCTACTTCGTAAAATTGAACTATATTGATTATTTGTTTTTAAGGGGCCTCAACAATGACATTTATTAAGGAACATTATATAGGCAATTTCTAAACTACTGTTGTGGATGTGTTAGTAATTGTATACTCGTAAATAGACATTATTTTAGTAAGTCGGTTAGCTTGTGCCGCGTCGGGTGACAACGACTTGAAGGTTGAGAATGGTGTGCGGGATCACTTTACGCACTCGCAGGCACATGTCAATAAGCTTGTTCGAAATAAATGCAAAGAAAAATTTCGCCCTAAAGACACGATTCTACTTTTAACAGTACGCTCTTATAAATACTCCGATTTAAGTTTTGAAAAAACTTATAAATTCTTAATAACATTTCCAAGGCATCGCTCGTCATACAATTTAAAAAATATTTATAATTATTTAATTATTTTGACTTGAAAAGTTACAATTTTGTAATCGTTTAAAAAATAATATTGACAATAAAAATTTAAAATTTATTCCGACCGATGCATCAAGCAAGTATTGAAAAATCTAAATCCGTTTTCAAAACTTATGTCGGATGACGCATTCTAGAGTATGGTTAAATTTAGAATGTGTTATTTTCAATCAAAAACGGGCTGGTGTAGAGGCCCCTTAATGGAATTTTATGACCACTGACCACACAGTGTAATATATATTTTTTTATTAAAATTTTAAATTCCTAAATAATAATTCACCTACTTGTATTAATTGTTGATTCTGAGCTAATGCATTAGTGCGTTTATATTTATTTTTTAAATGTTATGTAAAAGGTTAAATAACGTTTATGTTCAATAATGATAATCATATGTATAATTAAAATAATTACAAACCCTAATATATGACCCTACAAAAGTTCCACTCCTGGTCCCCTCCTGTTAATAGAATTACCTACATTTGATAGAGAATACAGCACTATCTGCAGTCTGCACGATAGTCATCTATATTTATTAAAAGGAATAACTATATGAAAATTAATTGTGAATGTGTGTTGTTAAAAAAAAAATGTTTACATTGCGCGTTGTTGATTATTTTATTTTGTTTTTATTTATTACTGGCTGAATTACCCGGCGTTGCCCGGAAAAAAATTTTGATTGTTCAACTCCTCTTCGTGTAACACGCTATGGAAGCAATGTCTTTTTAAAGTGTAAATTATATTATATTTTAGGCGCATGTAAATTTCACCCCAAATGAACTTCGGGTAAAATAATGCACATGTAAATTCCACTCGAAAAAACTACAGGTGAAGAAAGGTGCATGTAAATTAATAATACATGTAACAAATAAAATAGGTGCATTTATTGTAATTACTGTTAATATACAAATTTGTGTATGTGTTGTATTAATAATAATACCAGTCATAACATAGATTAATCATTATAAGTATTTAAATAAATTCGTAATTCCCATCGTAAATCTGAAAATCCCTGTTTGAGCACCTAATATTTACCCTTTTTAAATTACTAATTAGCATATATTCTTCACAGAGGTCTAATCTATATCTCTGTACCGAATTTCATCGCAATCAGATGAACAGTTTAGGAATGCATAAAGGACACACACACAATCATTATTAATTTATATATATATACATTTATTGATTATTCATCATAATAATATTACTTCATTAGTTAGGACGTTAGGTACTATACTGACTACTCACTATAATAGTTTATAGTTATTACAAAATTGATATACCCTGGAAGTTGTTTTACATTCCATCCTTTTTCTTTTTTTATCTATGTCGGTATGCATAAAAATATATTGTAAATAAATTTAATATAATGGTATATCCTTCACATAATATATCCATGGTCAAATCGTTACTTAATACTGACGTAATTTCGTTTCAGCAGACGGCAATCCTACAACTTAAATATTCACTATTCAGTATTTTTTACAATTTTACTGCGATAATAAAAGTGATCTTAACACGCTTATAACATCATTGAATATAGATAGCTGATCTTTAATCAATAACGATGCACAATTATTATAAAGTTTAAACGAAAGTCTATACGTTGAGCTAGTACAGACATTAATATAAGAACAAAATATAATATTCACATTTCACAATTATAACTATGTATAATGTACTGTTTACTTTCTCTAATTTAGAAATTATATGGTTTTATTGATATTATAATTAATGTAATATTATGTAGAACAATTATAATATTTTTGGAATAATGAAATAGAAGAAATATTATCTGTACAATGTACACGTTGGTACTAATATATCCTGATTTAAAAATCCACTATGCTGTGTTATATTATAAAGAATTGGTGCCTAAAAAATATTTTATTTTTAATAAAATTGTTTAAAGATACATACTCCTGAAGTTTATAGTTAACCTGCATATAACCAGCAGATTATTTGATGTGTATATAAAATATACTATATATAGCAGATCGATTGTCACAGACCACAGTGCCATGGCCTTTTGCTTAATATTTATTTAGACTTTAGACTGTCATGATACACATATTAATAATTTATATGGGTCATATTATCATTACACCTGCCGAAGTGCTGTTGCTGGATGGTTCCTTCATAAAATTGTACATGTCCTAAATTACTCATTTAGCGTTCATGTTTATTATATCACCAATAATATACAAATATTATGGATTATAAGAAAAAAAATACGAGTGCTATAATATTCACATTCGATTTTCAGTATATTTCTCGATACCAACAACTATAACATCATATACTATTATTATGATGTGTGACACAAAATAAAAACCTTATATTAACCGTGACTCGCTATTGAGTCATGTTTCTTGTAATATACTAATATAACATATATATCGATTCTCAACATGGTGTTCGGATAACGGATTACGTTTATTTAACAGATAAATGTAGCAAATATTCTTCCATCATCATTCATCACAAACGCTCACCAACACTATTCGATTATATTCTAGACTATGGTTCACCAGTTGAGACTCTAAAATCAATGTTATACAAAACCTCATTAACGGTTAGAGATCTCAGTAGAACTTTATCGTCCGACTTGAGATTCAAACGCCTCAAAGAAACTATTTGTAATTTGTGCAAAGGTTTTTAGAAACTTTATTTAGTGGTTTTATTAAGCGTAACTGTGCTGATATACCTAGTAATGTTAAATGTAATGAGTTATACACTTGTGCGACGTACCTATCCAAAAATATGTTTATTGTATATACACAGAATATATTTTGCATTGGTGCGCTCTGACGTAGAGTTGGAATCCTCGACGAACAAGCTTATTTTATAATTATTTTACTGACAGTTGACACAGGCACAGTCACACAGAAGACAAAACAAAAAAAACACTGTAATTGCTTATCTGTACTTTTAATTTAATTTTTTATATTATGTGGAGAGACCTAGGTAGCGGATTCATATTTTATGAGAACAACAATTTCAGTTTAGTGCTTATCTATGTATGTATAGGCAAAAATTAAGGGGGGGCGGGGCTAGGACATGCAATTTTGAAATGCTATACTGCAATGATCTGCCATATATATTCAGCCCCTCCTCCCCCAAGTCAAAAGTAGAAATTTCACATATGTATGTATGACTGTAGAATGTGGATAGGTAGATATTATAGAAAGCTGGTAATTTAATTTAGTGTTTTTAAAATTATCTTACAAGTTATAACATTGTATGGTAAATTTCTACATTATTGTTCATTTTGGCTCAATTTCGCCTGGGCAATTTTTTGTAAAGACACAATCCCCGACGAAATTATGTATAAACAATATTGTTACATTTATTTGAGTTTTGAGTGTCCTGCAAATCAAATTCAATTTTCTTAGTACCTACCTACCATTATTCAGTATAAATGTTTATAATAATAGTATCTTGTATCTTTTGGCAAAAAAAGATACATGATAATAGTATAAAATGTATCACGATATACTTGATACTTCGAAATTATATATCATGATACAAGATACAATTGTGTATGTTTTGTTATGCATATGTTGTGCCCTGACTATACGTCTATATACCGGTAACCGGCTGCAATTGCAGCTACGTCTCACACGCTGTTCGTGCTTCCATCCAGCACAGCGATAGTTGACAATTATTACGCGTCGTTCTTCGTAGCCGTTTCCAGCGGCGGCGGATGGTCCATCGACGGGCATCATCGGCAACAGAAGATAGAACCGTGGGTGTTCGTGGGTGTTTGAGCTGGTCGACGCGATCACCGCCTGCAGAAACGTCGCACAACTCGGCCCTGAACCCGCTGAACCAGGGCGTGTACATTTCGACGCGTTTAAATATACAACCGGAACACGTCGAAGACTTTAACCGCGTGTTCCGCTACAGACAACCGTTATTCGAGTGTAGTCTGAAACGCGGATCATCACAGCCTCCAAGCTGCTAATCACGGCCACCCGTATCAGCTGATGTAGGGATAGGTTTTTTTTTACCGCTGCAGCATAGATATTTTTCGACAGTTTGATTTACGATTATGCTGGTTTTGCTAATATTTTTATCGTTTTATTAAAATTTACTACACAAATAAATGTCACCATCAATTATTATTTATTGTGATGAGTAAGTAATAAGTATCCAGTATTACACAAGGAGCTAAATAGCTAATGGGCCGAATGTCGTTTTAATTTTTTAATCTATAATTTTTTGATTTATTTTTTACTAGTCTCAAGTATTAGATTTTCGTATTAATATAGGTACCTATAATCAGGGGCGCACATAGTATGTGGGGAATATTCCTTATTTATGTATATATAAGCTGCATATATTATGTTATTTTAAATTAATAGTTTTGTTAGGTGGGCTGTAAGCTGTAGCCCCCACCCCCTAAAAAAAAAAATTAACCCAAAGTACGCCTATATAAGCCTATAATTAAGTGAATATTATAATAGTTATAATATATGTATCAGATTATAATATGCTTTATACTTATAGCATACAACAATTCAGTGGTTTAAATAATAAAATATAGGTATAAAAGAACAAAAGGTTATTTTTGTCTTATAATATATAAAAACGATATATTATTCATTTAAATATTTAATATAATATAATACTGAAATTTTATCCTGGAGAATGGGCCTCACGCCCAATTAGAATAATTATTTTATAGATAGTTTAGCAATCACATATACCCATCACCCATATGGCCATGCATAGGATTCGAGAGGATTTAAGTATAGATAAGAAGAATGGATTGAAATATTGAATAGCAACATCATCATAATATAATACATTAATATTTTAGTTGCGTGTCGAAGTGAAATATTTTTTGTGGCAATTAATTTTTTGAATGACCTACCACCCATTAACTACTTACCATGTTCACTGAGGATGACGCCAAATGGCGTCATTTTTATATAGTTTGCATAATATGCTGAAAACGCCAATTGGCGTCTTAATATATACCTTATTGTTATTAAATGCACTACAATTTGGTCAGCATTACGATTCACCTTTTTGTTTTTCGTCAACGTTTTCTATAAAGTATAAGTATTATTTTATAAACAAGCGAAAACCGTACACTGACATTTTAATTTTTCAATTTTTAGGAAATTTTTTTTTTAAAACTCCAATTATTTCAGCGTCAATACAAACTACACACAAATATGATATGCAGCAAATGTGTTAATATAATACATATTATTATTTAATGAAGGTATTATTCTTATTAAATATCATATCAGGGGCGTACTCAAGGGGGGGGTTCGTGGGGTTTGAACCCCTCCCATGACCTTACTAACCGATGTACTTTTGTGCGTTCTTGTTTATACATAATATAATTCACAGGAGCAATTTTCTAAAAAAAAATTTTTAAGAAGGGAAAAAATAAACAAATATATTTATTTTCAATTTTATATCAACATGCATTATACAACGATTACAAGCATTATCTGTTAAGAACTGTATTATGATAACCAGATAAAATTTAAATCAAACATACAAGGTGTATTGATAAGTTGTCGTCACTCTGGACCCCTATACGTATACACTCTTGATTGAAAATATTACCACAGTTCTATAGTCACCAGAGCGCGCTTCTTGTCCTACGAAGGCCTGTATATTCATTCTGTTAAATGCAAAATGTCTTAAAACTTCAGAATTAAAATGCTAATATTTTTTAAAATTGAAGTCAGTATTTACAAAAACATTGAATCATAAAAAGTTTTTTTTTTGAATTGAGTTGGTATAATAAATTTGGAGCCTGTAATTACATTACATTTGCATTTTATTCATTGGCAATATTTTTATCGAGTAGACATCAATTAGAAAAAAACATTATGTATAATTTAGTCACTTCTTTGGATATTTGCATCCTTCTTAAAATCTTTAAATTAAATTATAACTATTACGATTCTACTCCTAATTCTAATTATAGTAGTCTGATAGAGTGGAGTATTATTTTCTAGTGCTCATAAAAAACTAAAAACATGTTTAAAATATTTTGCATATTTTATTTTATGATTAGGTATATTATTTATATTATAATATTATTCAATAATAGTTATCTTATAAACTTCAAACTAATTTTGAAAAACTGTTTAGTTTTTTTGGTGTTTTCTTGTTTTTAGCACCTTGCTCATTTTTTTCTTTTGTAAGTGAATATCATTCTTGTTTTGACATAATGCGTTATGAAATATTTGGTTAATATTTGACTGTGTATTGAGCAACCAACCTTTGTCAAAAAATTTGTTTATATATTTCTTCAATAAATATAAATTATGTTAGAAAAATAAACAGTGGAAAATGTATATGTAGTTTTCAAATTGAAATGCAACATTAAAAACATGATCTTTTACCGGGACAGCTAGTTATATTTATTATATTTAGATATTCTACACTATAATCTAGTACAGTATTTCTCAATTTTTTTTGTCGTGAGGCTCCCTTAATTTAATGTAAAACTGTCAAGGCCCCCTTAATCAAAATTATTAATTGTTTTTTCTAAATTAGGTATATACTAAAATTACTTGTACTATTTCACACAGATTAATTATTAAAATGTATAGTAATTTAATATACTTTTGAAAAATATTAATGATAGTATTAAAATTTAAGTATTTATTTTTTTTCCATAAACGCTTAAAGTCAAAAAATAAAAATAAAAATAAAATAAAAACATTTTTTACTAGTGTGCCTGGAAGTTCTAAGTACATTGAACCCTACAATAATCTTAAAAGAAAACATGAACACGTTAATCAATCGGAATCGGAATATTGTTCTTTAAATAAACATTTTTCATTTTTGAAATTTATTTTCTGTAAAGTACATTACCATGTTTATATTTAATATTTTTAAAAAGGAGGTGACAAAGTCCCCATGATAAAAAACAAAATATTCAACCCCCCCCATTGAAAATTCCTGAGTACGCCCCTGTATCATATTATTATTCATATTCAAATGAAGTTTGTCTTGTACTCCAATTTCTGATTAAATCCAGTACTCATCCATCCGGCATCCACCCCTTTAAAGTTATCACATATTGACTAATTTATTATATTGGATAGCCCGAGTGCGTCCTCAATCCATAGCTATGGAAACTATTGTACCTATTTAAGATAAACTATTAACTAATGTCTAATAGACTAAAAACGTTTAAGGTCTGACTATCGAATATTCGAATATGATGGTTCAAACTATGTAGTACTGTAATACTTGATACGAAATTTGTATAATTATGACTGTGGCAAACTGACTACGGTGCTACGGTGGGGAAAATGTATTTTATTTTAATTTCGATAATAATAATCAAGCGCGACTACAACTTACTCATTTATGGTCAATAATTATTCGTGAACTTTTTACCTCAATATAAAAAATATTGTGGTGCTTAACACAACAAAGTTTGATCATTGACAACATGTTATATAATAATTTGTATCACTAAATGGAAACTATTTATACCTACATGTTACAAGTACCTATATCTATTAATTTATTTTGATATTAATCAAAACAATAAAAGTGTAAAATATTTTTTTCTTATACTAAAATAGTATATATTTCAAGAATTTCTAAGGGGACGGACTAGGCGTCGCTCTCGGGCGGCACTTCTCTTCGGGCAGTCGCGGTGTCTGGAGAGGGAGGCCGCCATCCCCCACCCGGACATGACAGATACGGGTGCCCACTGGAAAATTCTGCCAAACTGTAATACACGTGTTTGCTAAAACCTATAAGAACCTCCCCCACAGTTTAAAAAAAACCCACCCAATAGCCTAAGTTGCCGAGAGTTAATTAATAATAAAAAAAAAGAATATCTAATAAAACATCAAAATATGTACTGAAAGATGAAATTTGCAATAAAATTATAAAATAAGCCCTTAAAATAGAAAAAAATTAGTAAATGTTAAAATATGCAATAATATGCACTAAAACATTTTTTTCATTTTTTAAATCGTTTTGCCTTGAAACAGATTTTGTGTTCAATTAGCATATACAATCAACCAGAACAAATATGCAAATGCATATAAATCCGCGCTCTAGTGATTACCTATGTAACAAATTTTAGAACCATAAGAGGTGCGTGACGCTGGCACCCGCAAGTTTGAAATTCAACTCAAAAATCACATCAGTAATTGTTATACAATTTGTACAAATTTGTAACCACAATTCCAAAATTTGTACACCCCCTGGTCGCCCGTAAAATCCAAAAACGATTTCCGGGTGCCAGCATCACGTGACGCTGGCACCCGGATTTCGATGTATTTGGCCTATCGACCCAAAAACCACATCAGTAATTGTTATACAATTTGTACAAATTTGTAACCACAATTCCAAAATTTGTACACCCCTCCGTCGCCCGTAAAATCCAAAAACAATTCCCGGGTGCCAGCATCACGTGACGCTGGCACCCGGATTTCGATGTATTTGTCCTATCGACCCAAAAACCACATCAGTAATTGTTATACAATTTGTACAAATTTGTGACCCCAATTCCAAAACTTGTACACCCCCCCGTCGCCCTTAAAATCCAAAAACGATTTCCGGGTGCCGGCGTTACACCCCACTTTTTGTACAATCGACTTTTTGACTCCAAAATGGTACCAACGATTGTTATTTCATTTGTACACATTTGTAATCCTAACTTAAACATTTGTACACCTCCCTGAATGTCCCAAAATTAATTTCAATGGTGCTTACTTCAAGCTGCCCCACGGATTTTTTCTATCGAATCCAGAACTCTTCTAAAATTTAGTAACAATTTAGACATTTAGTAACTAATTGTATCTGACATCAAACAATTTGTAACCAAACAGTTTCCGAGAAAA